AATTTGATAAAAGTTATCTAAAGCAATATACAAAATCATTATGGATAATAATAATAGAAGGGAAAATATGTTCAACGTATTCCTTTACATAATTTATCTCAAATCATGGTTTAAATATAATTTTCTCATATATTAAAAAATAGATAATAAATAAATGATAAAAAAAATGAATATAAAATACAGCTCAGGAGCAATCATGCCATAGTCACTTTATAGATGGCGCCACTAGAATTTAAAACATACTATTTTAAAAAGACTTCTCAACTGAATTTTATGCTTATTAATTGTTGATTGACTAGTAAGCCTATAAAATTGCCTGATTATTATTTATTAATCTAACTTAAAGGAACATAACTAATAAGCTTTCAATTAATAAAAAATGACAAACAATTTAATTTCTGTTAACCAATATCTTCAAGTCATTTTGATTCTATTGTAACTAACTAATAAGAGTATCCAATTTTAAAAATCATTTATTAGTTTCTTTAACATGTTATGAAGTCTGCAATAAAAGAAATGTTTTAAATTTTCGCATGTGAAAGCGAAAATGTAAAACATTTTTATCTTAATTTAAACAAGAAATCAATTAGCGATTTTTTTCTTCCTCGTTTAAGAAATTATTCATTATTTTATTTATTATAAATATATTCATGTCATTAATAATGAATATTTTAGGAAGTAAATTAAATTGTATTTTAATTATATAAGACAGTTGAAAATTTCATGACGCCATCTATTGATTTGTAAAGTAACTACAGAATAATTTATGGTTATATTTAATGTAAAATTTCACTGTAAATTTAAATGCTAGTCAAGTTAAAAATAAAAAAATGGAGTGGATTTTCAAGGATTTTTTTTTTCATTGTTGAATTCGAGTACAATCCCGAGGTAAACTATAAGTTTAGAATTTCTAAGTAGAATTTTGTACTTACACTTATAACACAGCTATGCATACAGTTGAAATACAGTTTTTTTTTTTTCTCATTTAAATGAATAAGAGCAGGCACAATCCAAAAGGACTAATGTTTCAAAATATGAAAGGTATTTTTTTTTAATATTAAATTCATTATTTTTGAATTGCACTTATTATGAAGAAAACAATCTATCACCTAAAAAAGTACCTCGCATGTTCCATAGATAGTAAAATACAAAGTGTACTAAAGTTATGCCAAAATCAAAAATTTTTACATGAAAATGTTTGCAACTTTACAGCTGTATTGTATCATTCGATTAAGTGTAAAAGATTAATAATGTCTTGCTTACTTTGACAGCTGAGCAGGGCTGGATTACCCATAAGGTCATGGCCCCCTTAAAATGGATTTTTTGAAAATAAATTTATAAAAATTAAGAAAAACAATGATTTTTCAAAATATTAGGATTATTTTTTAGTTCTAATTTAATAAAATAAAGTAAAATTTTATTTATTATTATTTATTTTAATTTTAAATACGCTTTCTTAAATGAAAAGATACATAAATCCTTTTATATTTGAATAAATAAAAAATATACCAGAAAAATATTAAATCTAAGGTCCCCCCAAAATTTGAATGGCCTAGGGCCCTGCAGATGAGTAAATAGGTGGAAGTACAAATCTATACATTAAATACTTATAACTTTTAAGCCTGGAGATTAATCTCATTCGTTTGGGCGTGAAAAAATACATCAGAAACAATACCTCGCTTGCCTGTCTAGGAAATAAAAAATTTATCATTATTTTCGAAGAAAAAGTCTGATTTCAACACTAATGGGAAAACAAATTCAACAATCTCACTATTGTACAAACAGTACCAAATCAACAAAGCAAAATGAACTGTCTGTGATAATTTGTGTTGTAATTTCCTTAAATTATCTTTTCATTTTAAGACTGAGAAAATTTGAATTTTTTTTTTTTTGGTTTATTAAAAATTATCAAATTATATTTATTTTAAATGTAGAATAACTTAGGATAATTAGTAGTTTATCTATTTAAACGTAGTACATTTACCAAATATATACCAAAGTATATTTATTTTAAACGTAGTGTAACTTTGGTAATTATACCTGTAAAAGAAACCCAGCGACATCCCATTCGAGAGGTTCTACCAATGTCTCAATGTGCATTAGGATGCCTTGCATTATTAAAGTCCACATGCACTAATTCAATTCGACTACATTTTACCTGCAACAACCACCAAGTTGAAAAGAAGTCCTCGGTAGGGTAATCCATAATAATACGCAGTCCAGTTTAAATATTATGGACCCATATTATTCAAACCGGGCCACGTATTAAATTACAGAATACTAATGTATTATACCAGAGGAAAATATTATAGGCTACTATGTATATATAAAATAGTGCGCTGAATATCTTTTAAATGAGGAAATTCGAGCTTAATTTACTGTATTACCAGGGATGAGAGTAGTCAAAAAATGAAAATACAAGAAAATATATATTCAAAATCCAAAAATTTGACAAAAAAGTGCGATTTTTAAACTTTAAAATCATGTGATTATAAATCCCAATGGTTAATTTTAAAATTGTATGAATATGCATCACATGCATGATTTTAAATTGAGAGAATAATGATGCGTAATTTTTAGATCACGTAAATACGAATCACGATGCATAATTTTTAAATTGCGCGCGAACATGAATCCCCATGTCTAATTTTTAAAGCACGCATCACTACGAATATCGAAGTTTGATATTACAATCGTAAATACGAATCACAACATTGGACTTAAAGCTCGCGTGAATACGAATAGCTACATAAGCTTTTAAAAGCGCGTAAATACAAATCGCGATATTGGATTTTTAAATCTCGTAAATAAGAATCATAATGTACGATAGTTAAATAGCGTACATGAATCACAATGCGCAACTTTTAATTCAAGTAAATACGAAAATAGATGATTGATATTAAAATCGCGTGAATAAGAATCAAGATATTTGCGGAGTCTGGATTAGGGATTTCTAAAAGGCTTGTTTGTATTGTTTTTGTATAGACATAATAAATAAAAATTTACAAGATTGAGCAAATAATATTTTCACCGCAAATCCACCTCTTTTTTTTCCGTTTGTTTTCACGCCAAAAAACAGGAAGCAGCAACGTCTGAATTACGAAAATACGAGCTATCAGGCGACGGATAAAAATACGGAAGATCTTATTTAAAATTGGAGAAAATACCTAAAATAAGAAAAAGGTGGAAGGATTTGCAGCTAGGACGTACTTTGAATTTTCTGTTTATCTTTGAAAATCGTAAATAAATATAATTGTTTTACTTCAACGACTGAATTTTGACAAAAAAAGCGGGATATTTATAAAAAAAAAAAATAAATAAACCGAAACTTTTAGAGAATCGGAGTTTTTGATATAAAAAAAAAAAGCTGTAACTCTAGAGATAAAATCTCATCCCTGATTATAAAGGTCAACCAGTTTTATCTCCCCTTAAGATTCAAACTGGAACAGGTATTATATTACATGGTACTAATGCACCTAACCAGAGGAATGTATTATTATAGGCCCACGATGTGTGTATTTATATAATGGTGTGTTGAATAGAGTTAAAATGGGGAAATTCGAGCTTAATATAGTGTATTACTGCTTATCTCCCTTAATATTCAAACTGGACCTTGCAGCATTATATTACATGATACTAATGAACCCCACCAAGGGAAATTATTGTAGGCCCTATTCATACTCACTATTGGACTCCACTTGCTGCACTCCCCAACCCCCGAAATTGCTTTTGCAGTTTCTTTCAGATTGCTTCCTAATTGGAGTTCACTTTTTGAACACTCATATATTCTAGTCTAGCGTCAGATGAAAAAAAAAAAAAAAAAAAANACAAAAAAAAAAAAAAAAAACATTTGGGTGATTTTTATTGGTATAATGCACCCACCTTTTGAGTGAAGTACAATAATAATAATAACAAGAAATACATATATGACCCAATCGGTTGGTTTCTAAGAATTGTTCGCTTCACATCCTCCATTTCTTCACAATTGATGCCTCAGTTTGTTTTGGCTTTTCCTTAACTAAATAAGAAAAGATCTAAAAATGTGTAATCCTGTACATTTATGCACTCATGTTCACTTGCTGGATATTAGTTTTTTGTTACCAATGCGAAAAAGAAATTTCATTGATTTTTAACAATATATGCATGGGTTTTTTTATATAAAATATATGGCACTAGGAAGAAAAAAAAGGTAAATATGACTCGTGAAAATAAATTTTGGGGCGAGTACTATTTTCACCGGCAAAAACACAACAATTAATTAAAAAAAGCATCCTAACATTAATTGAAATGATAGGTATATCCAAAACTATTATACTCTGCATCTTCCTATTTATAGAGTTTAAATTTAAACAAACGAGTAAAGAAAAAGTGGAAGCAATAAAATAGCTGGAAAAAAAAGGAAATATTTTTTTCTGCAGAATTATATTGTAAAGATACTTTTCTTGTTCATAGGGAAGGAAAGAAACACTAGTGACTTTTCTGTTCTCATTTCAGAATTAAAAAAAATCGCCAATGACTGGCTTGCTTCAGCTGGAGTTTTAAATTGATAAAATAAAATTAAATAACAAAATCACAGAAGTTTAATTCACTCTAGAAATTATGTTTTTTCTTTTATTTTTTGAAAGAACACCATAATTTTTAAAGAACATGATGAAAACAGTTTATATTTTAATAAAATATGAATGTGAGTGGGGATTTTGTTACTAATTCAGATATTCGAAGCACCATAAAATTGGGGGAGGGAAATTCCATTTTAAACATTAGATTTTTCGGCTACCGAAATAGAATTTTTTTTAAAAAATAGTTAAAATCGTGACAAATTTTGTTCAATACCGAAATTCATGACTTTCCAGGTTCGCAAATATCCTGTTACTAACAAAATTCTTAGAATTTTTTAAAAAAATAGATTGATTCCCAGAAATTAAGTTCCCTAGATCAAGGGTCTCCCTTTTTATAGATACGATAAAGGTTAAAAAGAAAGAAAGAAAGAAAAAAAAGAGTATTTTATATGTACATTTATTTCAATGATGATTAGACATATACATAGTATAAAGCTCTTGCACTCATAAATATCAATATTAAAGAGCCGACAGAAATCCTGGACTGGAACCTTAACAAACTGCTTCCCATCAGCTTAAGACTGATTAAAAAACAATAGGTATTTGGCCAGTATCTTTTAAACCTAACATTCTTCCGACAGCTGTTCTTCCATGTAAAGTTTGATTTCTAAAGTGCTTTTCAGTAATAAAGATTTCTTTCTTTTTTTTTTTTAAAGGATGAAAAGTCACAATAAAATCTCAGAGACATTTCTTTTTATTTGTTTGTGCTTTATAATCATCTAGGCTGTACATTATTGTCCACTCATTTTCCTTTTTTTTTTTTTTGTATNTTTTTTTTTTTTTTTGTACAGTTACAATATGGAAATGAGGTTTTTTTCTAGTCTCAACTAAAAATTTTGTTTGTTTTATTTTAAACACATGATGCACCACATCAGGTAAATGGTGTGTAAATATCTACAATGCCTGATGCAATGTGTTGTTTTAACAGCTGTACAAAGATGAAACATTCACAAGCATTTTACATGCATGCTCTTTTTGAAATTGCTAACAGATTTTTTTGTAACGTGACTTTATATAAACAATGACATTCTCTATTAAATTCAGAGTCCTAAGTATGACTCCCCAGGAGGCATCTAATGAATCACAAAACAGAAATAAAATTTTCTTCACTTAAATAAATATTGCCAATGCACCAATCCCAAGCAAGTCCTTTTCAACAAATATTTGCACTATCTGACCATAGCTGATTTTTGAAACTGGTATTTTAAGAAGTGACATATAAATTATTACGTTGAGCCATCCTCTGCATTAGGAGATGGCACCACTTTCTCCCCACTGCTGTTGCTACTCGTCACATTGAGGGAGTCCTCCGCATCTTCCTGCGAGCATTCGAATAGAACATCGGCAATAATGGATGCTACGCCTTGATCTAATATTTGTGACATGACCAGTGCCAGCAGCCTTTGTTGGTGTTGTAAAAACAATGTTCGGTTGCTGGGTACCCTTGCGAGGCATCGGAGAGTGCCAGCAGCTCGCCTTACCATGTCCAGAGTGGTACCCATAAGCTCAGGATTCTCCCTGAGGGCATTAATCCCTTGTGCATTGGCCACCTGCAATGCACTTTGTTCCGCTTGTTCCACAAATGTTATGAGAAGAGGTATGCAAGTGCCCTGCAGTGCTATTGCCCTAGCCATACTGCTGTCAGCTTGTGACAAATTGGACAGAAGGACTACAGAGAACTCCCGCAACACTTGATCTTCGTTCCTACTCAACCATTTCGACAAGAGCGAGAAGAACCTGTCGATCCTTTCCCAGGGGGGTGTGGCCATCATGAGGTCGACATTGCTTTCTAGAACTGAAAGTTTGCTCAGAGCTTCCAGAGAGAGACGTTGAGGTGAGAGGACGGAGTGCGATGGCTGGGTGGGGAGTGGGTCTTGGGCATACGAAGAAGGACAAGTGACCCAATGCATAAGGCCATCTAAAATGGGAAAACTAATTTCTTCAGGGAAAGGAGCCAAGTCCAACTGACCCGCAATATTGGCTAGGGTGACTAGCGTATTTTCACGAATAATATGTAACATGTCCCACCACCATTCATGTTCAGTGTTCAGGCTGCTGCAGGAATCTGCAACAGAAGAGTTTTCACCTTCTTCTTCGCGGTCGTAGTGTCGCTGAGGAGGCTTGCGTGGAGAATGAACGTGGTGCAGTAGCAGAAGCCTGCCGAGCACAAGTAAGAAACCAGAATGTTTAGACATTTCAGTGTCATTTCCAGGCACAAATGACAAGTTCCTTAAGATGGATGACACACAAATGCACCTGCGCACGAGAGAATCTTGGGAATCACCTATTATACACAAAGATGGCTCATCTCTATTGTAAGATTCCTCCTCCAAGTCTTCTACAGCCCTCCGCTTCCTGCTAGGGGAAACCGGTCTTATTTTTGGAAAGCTATTGTCCGGATTGTCACAATTTTTATTTTTAGAAGAGTCTTTTGGGGGCGTAGATTCCTTGTCAATCACAGAATGAACGTTATCATTACATTTTGAGTCATTTGCCTCCGAAGGTGTAATTATACACGGGCTGCTCTCGTCTTCCTCAGTATCAGATCCACATTCTTTTTTACTATGTACAACACTTTCTCTTTGTTCTGTTTTGGCATCCTTACATTTATCTTTTAAAATTCTTACAAATCTCACACGTTTTTCAATATTTTCAAAATGTGTCTGTATATAACCGGTATATTCCCCTCCCCCATGTTGCCAATGGCTGCTTCCACTTATGAAACCCTCGTGCACATCCCACTTTTTATGAGGATCAAACAGAAACAGAGCCTCCTCTTCTTGAGTCCTTACAATTTTTTTGCAACGTGTTCTAAAAGTATAATTCGTCGTGTTTAAAATAGATGTTTTGTCATTACATAAAGTGTCTGATAAGGGTATGTCGTTCGATTCGACGTCCGACAGTTCGCTGTCTAACTCGTACCATTTCTTTTTTCGTTCCTTTTTCACTCCTTCGCCTGGATTCAGCATAAAGCCTACTTCCATGTCACCAACTAAATCAAATATTAGATTCAGGCACCTCCTGTAATGGTCCATTAGAACTTCTAGGAGCCCTTGCAGATGGTTGAGTCCAAAGTAAAGGACGGTGGCATCGTCATGAACCAAAATGGTGAGGACATCCAAGGCCCAGGTACTCTCTCCAAGTAACCCAGATTTGAGAGCCATCATAATTCTCCACGCATCAATGGGAATTATATCTTTGGAGAGGACCCGACGCCGTTTTGTGATGAGAGGAGTTACAGCTTCCACAGTGTCGGGAGGAAATATGACTTCTTTTCGTTGAGACTGACTGGAATATTGCGGTGGAGGCCCAACGCCATGAGGTTGCTGGGGAAAGAAGAAAAAAAAGATAATTGTAATTAGAAGATGAAAAACTTCTGTCAACACAAATTTTCAATTAAAACACTTCCGTATCGACTCTTGCCAACCCTTTTGTCACCATTGAAACAGTCGATAATCATTGATTTTTTTAATTTTCTACAAGAAAATATGTTGATTTTTATAATGCAGGGGTGATTGTGAGCTCAACTCAAAAATCCTGAAAATTCTTGAGTAAAATCATTCATGACCCATTTCAAAAAATTTGTCTTTATAAATTTAAACCATAGCTATTTTCAAAACATGAAATTCTAAAGAAATTATATGCAGTATAATATAAATGAATAATTACTTATAAGTTTACTGTCATTTCACATTTATTATTCTATCAGAAAAAAATATTTACAAATAAACGAGATGCCAAGTATAAATTTTAGTTCTAATATTTTTAAATAAAATATTCAAGAATTTTTATACATAAATGTTCTTGACTACCATTTAACAGGACTTGACTAGAGTTAAAGCTTAAAATGCTGTGAATTCACATGTCAAATTGATTGTATGACAATTGATTGTATTAAAATAAACAATTATCATATAATCAATTTTAGGTGATATAATAATAAATAGTCTAATAATAATAGTATTGATATGAGTATTAGACTATTTATTATTATGAGAATTGCTTATATTAAAATTGATGTGGCAAAACTACATATGCTGTGATAAGATGGATTTTTTGATATTTACAGTAACAAACAAAAACCTAAAGGCAGCTTGAAGCCACCTAAATGAGTATCAACTAGTATCGAAAGACGACTGAATAGTTACTAACATAAAAGTTGATAATTTTCTGGATTTTTTTTTTTTTAAAGTTCAAGTTACTACAGTATTCATTCCAAATGGTTCAAAATATAAGAAAATTTCAGGAGAATGTTTAATTATATCAACATTACTGCATTAATTATGATCAAATTTATTTCTATTTTTAAAAAAAGAATCATTTCCTGTTATCATGTTAAATAGAAATATCATGGTATCAAGACTTAGTGCAAACAAGCATTTTTTAAATATTAAAAACAGTATTTAAACAATAAAAAATTTAAAGCATTTGATACAATACAAGCTGAAAAAAAAAAAGACATTCATTCAAGTAAATTAAATAAAACCAGTTATAAATGGAAAAATAAGTTTGTATAAGTTGCCTAAAATACAACACTATTTACTGATGAAATGTAATCACACCTATCTTATGCAATCAAAATGCTGATTGAATAAATCAATAGCAAATAAAAAAGAACTATCTAGTTAATTATTTAATAACAGTGTTTCATTATGTAGCATTTGAAAAGTTTGATTAAAAATATTTCAGATCAGTGGCACTCATTGAAAGAAAAAGTTAGCATTCAAAAGTAGGAAAAAATTCAAAACATTTCAAGAAGAACTGAAAACGTACAGATATATATTATATAAATGAATGAATATAGATTATATATATTTAAATGAATCATTTTGTTGTCTGTTTTTACTTGACTGATTCTTTTTAACAAGAAATCTGTTAGAATAAAATTTCTGTTTTACTATAAGGGAAGAACTTGTTAGGAAATATGAACAAAACAAAGTTATGTTTCTTAATTAAAAAAATTAAGGCAAAATTTTTTTTTCTTTCCTAATCAGTACAGTAAAGTCATTATTTTAGAGTATACAGAAGTTTGCTTTCAAATACATATACAAAAGAGTAAAAGATGTTTATAACGCAAATCTTGAAACGAAAGCCTTTGTGTTTCATAGAGGTAGATGGTAGATACTTTATTTACGTCGTACTAGAGCTGCACAATGAGCTATTGGTGATGGTGTGAGAAACATCCCTGAGGATGATCCGAGGACATGCCATTGTAATTTTTCGATCTTCTGCAGAGGGGATGGCACCCCTGCTTTGGTAGCTCAACAATCTGCACACAAAGTCAGGCATTTTACGGTGTAACAGTTTAACAAGGACCGATACCATGCACCCTCGTTTGTATGCAGGCTGATTAATGTGGTCATCCCCCCGCTTACTGACTGCAGTCAGTGATGCTTGATTTCGGTGTTCAACAGGAAAACGTGCCTTTTATGATCAATCCACAATGGGACTTGTGTTTCATAGAATATTGCATTATATAGATCATTTTACATATTTTTAAATTTACCTACAAAACATGGCAATATTAGTCTGAAACAAATCTTAAACAATCGATTTCTAAATAATACATTTTAACAGAAATGTGCATTTGGTATTTATCATTTACAAATACAAAAAATAGAGCATTTGATATAATAACGAGAGAAAAAAAATTCAATTTTGGTTTATTAAACTTTTGAAAAAGTGGTATTTTAACAAATATTAAAAATCAATAACAAAAGGTTAATTTCTTAAACTCCTTAGACGCAACTTTCATTGTTTACACCCACAAACTTATTGTGGTTATGCGGTGTTGAGTTACATGGATTTTCTACATAACATTTACATGCAATAAAATATTATAGAATACCTGTATTTTATTAGGAGGAAAGCCCCGCGACATCATTTTTGGTCCCATTGGAGGACCCATATGATGTGGATAAGGCTCTGTTTGGGGACCACTAAAACGTGACCAACCTCTAGGTTGAGGAGCCTCTCCATGTCTTGACATGTCCCAATTGTCGCGCTGACCAGGGGAATACTGATTCTGACTTGATGAGTAGGGTCGATTATCCCGAGGCCAACCTAAATAAATACAAAACAATTACTTCAAGATAACAAATATATTGAGTAGTAGTTACATTACAACAGCAGGACATAAGAGTGCTCTCGCCTCCCATAAGACAACCCAGGTTCAAATGCCAGCGGTGGTTGCTAATAAGAATTTTGCTCCTCGTTTGCACTGACCACAGTGCTGACATAAAAATATAAACAGATCACAGATTAGAATCCCCTTGCTGGCAGGGTAACTGTTGAAGGTTTTTGTCTTTTCTTCTCTATGTGACGCAAACACACAGTTAGATTTTCTTTTATTTATTTACTTAAAATAATAAAGTTGTATTGACTAATGGTCAAATGGGATTAATAAATGTAAAAGTAAATGTCAGTTATTTTTTATATTTATTAATACTTACTTTCTTGAAAATAAAATCGACTAAAGATTTATTGGTTTATAAATATTACTCGCTATCTAACAAATTATCAAACAAACAATTATTAAAAGAATTTTAAGGGGGAAAAAATACTATATTTAATAGCACAATTGTTAAATTATTGAAAAGCATCAAGACATTGCTTAACTTTTCATTTAATAAAAAAAAAGTTTTTTTAATTAATATCAAAGTTTTTTTTAAAAAAATAACAGAAACTTTGTTTTAATTTTCGCAAAAGTAAAAAAAAAAAAAAGGCTANAAATATTACTCGCTATCTAACAAATTATCAAACAAACAATTATTAAAAGAATTTTAAGGGGGAAAAAATACTATATTTAATAGCACAATTGTTAAATTATTGAAAAGCATCAAGACATTGCTTAACTTTTCATTTAATAAAAAAAAAGTTTTTTTTAATTAATATCAGTTTTTTTAAAAAAAATAACAGAAACTTTGTTTTAATTTTCGCAAAAGTAAAAAAAAAAAAAAAAAAAAAAAAAAAAAAAAAAAAAAAAAAAAAAAAAAANATTTTTTTTAATTAAATACGACTGAAGATTTATTGGTTTAAAAATAATCAAATTCTACCATTATTATACTTACATGCATGAAAAAAATTTAAAAAAAAAAACTATCTTAGTGTAGCAAAGTATTAATTACTTAAATACAAAATACCCCTATTAAATTTATTGTTTATAATGAAAAACAATGATTAAAAAAAATCAATGAAAAATCCTTTATATTATTCATAATTTCTTTTCACTAATAGATTTTAGTTAAAAACAAAAATTTAAGATACCAGCGATTACGCATAGATTGCAAAGTAACAGTAGGTTTACTAAAACTAATTGACAAGAAACGTTAAATCCAGACTGACAAAAAAAAAGAAAAAAAACTATACGAAATAATGCTCAACGATTACTAATTCAGGATGCATAATCAAATTATTCAACAAAAATAACCACCTTTAAGCACTTTTTAAAAACGCAATGAATCCTGTAATTAGCAAAAGTATCACTAAAAACAATTTACAAGGAGCGTTAAATCCCAGCGAAACAAAATGCATGTTGATCGCAGAATAACGTTATGAAGGCTTCTTGAGCACAGCCCCCATTAAACTCAAGTCAATCTTTGCAGATTTCATAATTAACATAAAGGCTAAGCTGATTAATAAGACTAAAAATATCAGACAGATAAGAAATGGTTGGAGTCTTTTCAAGGTAATGAGCCTAAAAAAATATATCAAATCGATTAAAAGCTACTGAAGGGCAGGTGTGTTTAAAATAGATGACATGTTTGAAAAAAAAAAGCTGAATTTTTTAATTAGCCCGCTAAGATCTGTGGTGACTCAATAGATAGAGCGCTCGCCTTTTGATGAGAATTAAACCTGCACTATACTTTCATGACAATTTATTAATTAAAATATATTAAATCTGTTATAAGATTTTGAAATGACAGTAAGAAGATTTATACTTTTGTAAGTCTTAATGATTTTTATACTGGCTAAAAGAACAAAAAGAGGATGGAAAAGATAAAAATTATTTCTGACCTTGTTGAGGAGGACCAGGAGCCTGAGGTGGAACACCATGTGTTGGACGATAAGGATATTGACCACGATCTACAAAATGCAAAAAATTTAATTTCGGCCTTATCTTTTGGGTTGTGACAATCTTTATAAATAACAAGACTGAACAAGGAAAAATGAAAACCCTTACTTCAATAATGAAAGTTTAAAAAATATAACAATTGTATACATGATTTAAAATATACATTTTTAGATAATTAAAAAATGATGATTAGTAATGATTATATTTTGTTTGAATATTTTATTTAAAAGTTTTCCTTCAACCTCAACCAAAAAACTAAATATTTCCTTTAAATTTGAAATTAGGCTCTATATACCTTTACTATTTATAATTTTGGAAAAAAAAATATGATGAATTTGAACTTAAATATTTTACTTTTTATAAAAATAAATTAGTAGACGATCTCTTATTTCAATTTTTAAGAGGTCTTTGATGATTTTATTCCTCATTTCATCAACAAATCTTATTGTACATGGTTTTACTCTCTTTGCTAAAATTGCACATAAGTAGAGAACCTCTTACTTAATATTTTTCAAAGTTTGCAATTGTAAAATGGTAGATTGATATACAATCAAACCTGATTTTGCGCAGTCTTTTTTTTTTTTTTTTTTTTGGAATATAGGTTAATCTAATAGGTTAATCTAATCTGAACATAACTGACAACGATATATATAAAAAAAAGTCGGTTTTATCGGCCATTTAGTTCTTTGACCTGCATTTCATAAGCTATTTACTTTACATAAGTATTGAATTCTATAATCACATCATTTAATTGTTGAATGTGCAAGAATTTCCATGCAAATAAATGAAAGGCGCAAGTAGTATATTTAGAATTGCCACTCAAATTAGGGGGGACTGTGTAAATGTGTGATAACTAATACTAGTTTCAATTGCTGGAAAAAACTTAGAGAAATAAAGGACAGTTCGACATACATAAAAAGATAATACAGCAAATGAAATAGTATATAGCTGAACTATCTATAAATAATCCCTAATTAGCACTTTGAGAGGTCAACATTTTGTAAGAGAAGAAATAAAAATTCCCTGTATTTTCCCAGTTTATAAGGAAAAATTCAAAATTCCCTGTATTTTCCAGGTTTTTCCTATCCTCCCTGTGGAGTAGCAACCCCTATATTGCAAAGAAAATCTGAGGAAAAAAATCCTTATGTTTTTCCTGTACATACAGATATATTAAGAGGAAACACAATAATTACAGTGCTCTTGTGTGAGCTACATTGGGCTAACTATATTTATTAGTTTCAATTGCTGGAAAAACTTAAAGAAAAAAAAAAGGAGCAACTGAACATACTTTAATAGTTCTGCAGCAAATGAAATAGTTTAGTATAGCTGAAACATCATGCTTAAATATTCCACGGATTAAATCCACAGTGACTAAAATTCCCTGTATTTTCCAGGTTTTCCATAGTCTCCCTGTGGAGTGGCAACAAATACTTACATATAAACATAAACCCACAAAACATCCGGAGTTTAAAAAAACTGATTTGAAAATATTCTTTCATAATGGGAAAATAATATCACTAGCAGTGGTTTAAGAAACACAAGTTTGCAATACAGCAAGCAGAGAAAAAAGTCACAGTCATTTCAAGAAATTATAAATTATACCCTTACTACAAATGTAACAGTTAATATACCTCAAGCTAATCATCATGTTTAAAGTTTTTAATTCCATCGAATCTGAGGTTTTCTAAAGTGGATCAGAAAAACAAGATTTTTGATTTCCTTCATATTTTACAAGTTCAAATTGCATTTACATTTATTTCTTAGCAAATATGAAACCTATTTGTTCTTTCACTGTTTACAACTTTAACTTGGTGACTATTTATGCAAAAATATATAAAGTAAAAGATATTTCAATAGTATGATTTTTGGAAACAAAAGTTCACATATATAAGAAATAGCGTAATCAAGAAATAATGTGCATGATTAGAAAAAAAGAAATATTTCACTAAATTATAATTCTTTACCTATTTAACAATAAAACGCAAATGTGTAAAATACATACACATTACGACCATTGCACAATTTATTTGAATACAGCAACAGATATAGGGACTTATACAGTCCTTGGTCATATTACAGTAGGGAACCGATTATCCGGAACGGTCGGGACCATCGCTATTCCGGATAACTGATTTTTCCGGTTTTCTGAATCGCTACAAAAAGCCGTTTTTTTTTATTGTTAAACACAACTTAAAAAAAAAAAAAAAATTGGAAATAATCTTAAAAATAAGAAAAAACGCTGAAGTAATACACTAATGATTATTTCCAAATGATGGTAAGGTAAACATCGTTAAAAAAAGAAAGAAAAATCGTAAAATCTTATGAGGAAAA